GGTTGGAAGCTCGAACTGAACCCTTTATTTCGCTCACTGGGGTAGATTGTTCTAGTTCCACGTGCCATGTCTAATGGATGTCAGTTACCACCTGTTAATTCCCCTCAGAAATTTTTCGACTGCCTTAACCAGCTATTGAACTCACTCTTTGGGTTATGTTAAATGTCCGTATAACCACTCTGAAGATGGCTTACGTGAGCCGAAAGCCCAGATTAAGGAACAGCATAGTTAAAAATATCCAAATGTTGGACTTGTCTTTATTTTCTCCCGAAATTGAAACCACTATACGAAACTTAGAACGTCTCATGATCAAATATAATAGACATTTGGTGACTTTTATATTTCACAATATATATTTGATTAATGATCTGCTACCCCAATACACTAATATATATATATATATATATATATATATATATATATATATATATATATCAATTTCGAAGGATCTATTTACGACTGCCCTGGACTTTGCTGCTGTGTATTCTAACCTGACAAAGGAAGAAACAGATATAGTCCTCAGCGCAAAGAAATCGGTCCTCATTCATAATGGGGACCAATGGATAAAAAACAATAACGACCTGTTTGACATCACTATGGGATCATTAGACTCTGCAGGTCTTCTGACCTTGTTGGTCTTCTAATACTGTACAACTTAACGGCACATCACGAAATTGATATTAAGGACATCGGACTGTATAGAGATGACGGGCTCATGGTGGTAAGGAGTTCTACTAGTTTTAAGATAGACAAAATCAGAAAAATTATATTCAGTGAATTTAAAAAAACTAAACTTAAAGATAACTGTCTCTTCTAATTTAAAAAAGGTAAACTTCCTCGACGTAACTCTAGACTTACCAGGCAACACATACCAACCTTATAGAAAACCAAATGCTAACCCTTTATATATACACCCGAAGTCAAACCACCCTCCATCCATAATTAAACATATACCCTCATCAATAGAAAATAGAATTAGCATTAACTCCGCTAACAAGGAAATATTCCAACAACACAATGGCTTCTATAACACTGACCTAAAAAATAGTGGTTATAAAAATGCATTAACTATAGAGACGATTGCACTGGCCATAAGAAAAAAAAAAAGGAAAAGAAAAATCATTTGGTATACCCCTCCGTTCAACCAAATGGTTAGTATTAAACTAGAACAGAAATTCTTAGCTCTAATTGATAAACACTTCCCCACCAATAGTAAGCTTAGTAATATATTCAATAAGAAGACCCTAAAACTGAGTTACAGCTGCTCTGAAAATCTTGAACGTATAATAAAAAAACACAATAATAAGATCCTGAACAAACCCCCATGCCTGAATAGTATTAATAAAAACCCTGCACTTAAATCAGGCAATAAAAGGGAAAAATTGTGTAATTGTAGAAACCTAGAAGACTGCCCATTAAAAAATAAATGCTGCATTAAATCTGTGGCATACCAATGTACTATATCATCCACTGAGAGTCCTGGCACTAATATGATATACATTGGGTCCACGAAGAATGATTTTAAAGATAGATGGAGGCAGCATAAATGCTCTTTCAATAATATATATAAAAGAAATCAGACTTCCCTATCTAAATATTTTTGGCATCTGAAGGAAACAAATAGGACACCTAAAGTAAAATGGAAAATTATAAACAGTGCTCGAACATGTAAGACTTGGGATGACCCATGCCCTTTGTGCCTCCGTGAGAAATTGCACATTATTAAGCTTCTAAATAATAATAATCTATTAAACAATAGACATGAGTTAACGGTTTTTTGTCGACATCATCAGATTTATGGTTTGAATAATTAGCTAAAAACAAGCATACAATATAATAACTTGATTAATCCATAGCCCAATCATCAGATTCATGGTCGAATAATTAGCTAAGAACAAGCATACAATATAACTTTCATAACCCATAGCCCAAATAAATAGTTTAAATAACCTACAAAAAAGATAACCCTTTATGAAGTCGTCAAAAAACAAAGGTTACGGCAGTTTTTTATATGCACAAATCCCTTTCATCATAAAAAAATTAAATAAAAAATAAATAAATCTCCATAGACACGCATACCAGACTAGAGTGAATACATCTTCTGTTTCAAATTTAGACACCCCCACCTTTCCCTGACTTGACATCTATGAAAGTAACTCTATACTGATACTTATTATTAACATCCAACACACGCCTACCCAATTTAAACAATTCGCCCTAGCTGTTACCATGGAAATTTTGATTTCAATTATCAAAACACGTAAATTTCAGAAATACGTTATTCCAAAAAAAAAAAAAAAAATTAGCTTGAAATGGAACAGAGCCTAATTTAATTCAAATAATTATATTGAAGTTTTCGGGTCTTGTTTTGAAACATGAGACCTCTTATGTCGCGAGTTGAAATCATATTTTTAAATAAATAATTATATATATCTGAAACCAGAATTTTGCAGAAAAGGATTCAGTAATAAGAAGCCGTTTTAGTGTCATTATAACCATCGAGGATCCAAGCGGTGAGCACAAGCTGTGTCGACGAATATTTTGTTTCGTATAAAATAATTCTTTGAATATCACGTTCCGGCATTGGAAGATGTGATAGAATAACCTACACATTCAAGGAAGAATGAAAGAAGATGGAAAATAACCATATAAAGATCGTTTTACTGCTGTTTTTTTTTTTTTGCAAATATATGAAAAATCCCGATCGATGACTTTGTGTCACGACTAGCCAAAAGCGTCGAAAACATTTGATCACACTTTTGTTTGTTAAGGAATTTTCGAGATAATCTCTGACGAACGGATTAGGAAATCGAACAGAAGATTATCTGACTCAAGAAAAGTCTGTTCACTAAAGAGTCAAAAATATTTTGCCAAAAAGGCGAGTGAAAGCCCAACAGGTTTACAATAACATGCCCTGTTTCTCACCTTGTTTAAAAAAAAGTTTTCACAATAAATTAATAAATGGCCCTTTCAGGCTCCTCAGATATTAATCTAATAGAAAACTTGTGGTTGATTATTAAAAGAAACGCATATAAAATGAAAAACTACTTTTCAAACAAAGATGTCTGAAAAGCAATAAAAACTTTTGTTGGTGATTTTAAGGACGAGTCTTGAAAGAGGTGTAAGCCTGACAGGAATGCAACATCTATCTACTAGGAACTGTGCAAAAGTCTTCGTTTCGACCATGTAGGTAAACCGCATTATCATACTCCAACGATTGTACGAGAAAGCCCAAATCACAAAATATTAACTTTATCGAATTCTCCTTTCAAGCAAAATGACTCGATCTGTCATTTTTAGATAAGTAATTAATAATCTATAAGACCTGAGAGATCATGGCTCTCCACAATTTCTTATCCTTTGCAGCTATTAATAAGTTTCACACTTTCACCATCTGCCAATCCCTACGCTGCCATTCATTTACAAAATGTCGTTCGACATGTTTCTCGCTGCTTTTCTCTGTTCTGTTCTGTGAGTGTCATATTCTCCGAGCACTTTTTCTTTATCGTGCGTCCTAGAAATTTCAGTTGTCTCGCTCTGATTTTAAGTGCCGCGCCCTTTTTATTTCCATTTTCCTTAAAACTTCCTTGTTTGTCATATGTTCAGTCCCTGATATTCTCAGTAGTCTTTCGTAGAACCACACTTCTTTTACCTCAATTGTCTTCTCCTTCCGCGACTTCTTTTGACGACTTATAGCATCAGGTGATTTACTGATTTCTGCGCACATTTATTTGTAGATGCGCGGGCAGTTTTAAATGATCAGATTTTAAGCTATCATTTTTATGATCAAGAATCAATTTAAGACAGGTGTGATGAATTAAATCTGCTTAAACAATTACTATGATTCATATCTCATTCAAAAGCCCTAGAAAAATTAGACGCAAGGAACGATTTTCGTAGAGATCAGATTCAGGGTTGACAGATTATGCGAGGTTAAAAATATATATTAATATATTATACTAGCCATTAGCGTTGCTTCATGGTTCTTATTTTCCGTTTGTCTCCAAAATTGCAGCTAGCTTAAAATTTTAAGCGAGCTAAATGCCGCCGCAGCTCTACTTTATAGTAATTTACACGCAAAAAGCTCCATATTTTTATTATATATTTGCTTCTAGGTAATATCATTCTTCAGGTTTAACTATTTTGCATATTGATTTAAAAAAAAGTTTATTTCATTAACTGTCCTTTATTACTCTTTTTTTATTCGAGGATTGTTTTGATTTTCATATCAAAAATAGGTCTGTTTAGGAATATGGTATTATATAGTGCAGTAAAGTGGTGGGAATTTGCATTTTACTTGGCCTTCAACAAGTTGGCATCTATTTGTAAAACTTTCCTTAACTATAACAAGCCCATTTTAGAATGAAAGGTTCAATTAAAATTTTTGTTTCAAAGATTTCAAATACTGAATATATCTTACTTTGCGAAGCGATAGCGAGAGATCGAAGCCTGCTAGTATTTTATATTTTCAGTATTATGCAAAAGTTTTGAGATGCTGAAAGATGTGCAATTCCCCACCCCCCACAAAAAAAACAAAAAAAACATGCATGTTCGAAATTCCGATCGAAACTTCCTATCTTCATACAAATTACTGCATTAAAGGCATAAATCAAATATGGCTGCACTCTGTTTTATCTCCTGATGCTTTCCCACTTAACATGCCAGGATTACCAGGTTGAAATAACGATTCCCATAAAACATCGAAATTAAGCAACGTCGAGCCTGTTGAGTGACTCTTAGGTCTTGGATTAGGGGTGGATGGGGGTTAATGAATTCACGCGACCGTCCCTTGAAGGCATCGGATTATATTGACCGTTTCCTTTGGATCAATGGGATCATTTTTGCCACATTTTGCAAACAAACAAGAACACGTCACTGCCTCCGCCTTAAAGATGTAGAATATAGTCTGACGTCAAGAGATTAATTTCAGAATCACAATAACATCACAGAAAATTCTTAAACAAGCAATAACAACAGCCTACAAGGCTAAAAGACAATGCTTACGGTCATATCACGTTGAAACACTAGTTACCGTACTATCCGCGTAATTAAGCAACGTCGAGCCTGATCAGTATCTAGATGGGTGACCTCTTAAGAATACCAGGTGCTGTAATCTTGGATGTGCGGATGTTGTAATAGACAATGGCTCAAAATTGTTTAATCAAAAAAGAAAACTTTATTGTGTATTCTAAACACAAAAATACTAGATAGTTTATATTTTGTTAACTTCAATAATGGCATCAATCTGCTTTGGAAGAGATCTATTCAAATTCTTTATTAATTTCCTGGCTATATGTTTCCATTATCTCTGGCTGCGCCCAAATAATTTTTCAATAATGCATGGATTCTTTAGACGAAATCATCATCCCTCTAATTCTTTCCACATTTGCGTGATAATATTTATATCAAGGCTTTGTACAGGCCAATCATTAAGACGCTACCATTTTAGTCAGCGAGATAATGTTGAGACCGCCATTCAAATTAGGAATCAAGTGTTCCGTCAGCAATTCAATGTATTTAATACTATTTATTTTCCCGGTTACGTCACGTTGAAACACGGGTTCTCATACTAACATCGAAGTTAATCAACGTTGAGCCTGGTCAGGACTTAGATGGGTGACCGCTTTTGAATACCATGTGCTGTATGCTTGGATGCGTAGGTGGTGTAACGGATAATGACTCGGAATTGGTACTCGGAGGACTGAGTTTCAATTCCTGTTGGGTTCGTTATATTCACTTACGCGCAAATACCCTTGGGGAAGGTATGACTACATCTCTTCTCCCCCAGCTATGGATTAATTAGTAAAATTTCTATCACTAAACCATTATTATCTCCAAACCATATTCTTATCATCTAAAAATACTTTCTGGCTTACATAACAGGAAAAATGTTAATAAGCCGTAAAAAACGAATCAATCAAATAATGATTAGCATCTTTGATATATATTATCATTTAGATTTATATACATTCTCTAGAATATAAATATATATAAACTTATATGGCTATTTAGAGAGGGATCAGTTTATATACTTATTTTGGTATAAATTGATCCCCCACTTTATATTCACATCATAATTTTTTTTTTGTTTATCAAATTCTGATTAGGTATGTATCTACACCTTCTACCTCAGCTATAAGCTAAATATTAAATCTTGTATCACCAAATCATTATTATCTCTAAAAATAACAAAAAAATGAAAATAAAAAATATATTGAAATCTAAAAATATTTTCTGGCTTTAAATAACTCGAAACGTGTTGATAGGGCAGAGAAAACGAATCCGTCAGTCAATCAATTAACATATTACAGCTGTTGACAAACAAGTAACTTTAGTCCTGTTGGCAGTGTAGAAGACCGTGTTTTTTTTTTTTTTGTTTGTTTTTTTTTTTTTACGCGTTGTGATATAAACACGTATGGAACTCCTGAAATAAAAAAAAATCCTGCTAAAAAATGTGGCGGACTAGAGATGAGTCTAACCATAAAGAAAATGAAACAGAAAGACAACAAGAAACCGATATCCATGTACAAACAAATATGTGTATAAAAAACAAAAAGGTATTTATAATAGATATAATTAGTGTGTGTATGTATGAACGTAGAGAGTTCGTGTTTCAAGGTATGTTCGTACGTACGTGTGTGTGTGTGTGTGTGTGTGTGTAATATCATGACGTCTACACCACAGGTTGGAAACAAATATCTTCTGCGAGAACTTACATGGTCTCAATGTCCACTGAAAACGCAAGAAAGAGAGAGCGAGAACGAAGTATTCTCAAGTATTTATAGTTTAGGGATAGCGTCACCTAGGAACAATTTGTACAATTACGAAATTAAGGAGGAGTTAACTCCGACAGCAGTGCGGTTTTTGAAAAGATCGCGTTTATTCCTACAACCCACTTCTGGAATAGATGTACGACTATGTTGAATTGCTCTCGATTCTTGTACTAGTTGAACTTTAGTATTAAAACATCCGCATTCTACAAATGATTAATATTGCTAACTTTATCTTATTTGGTTTATGAACTAAAGGTTGTCTGAAATATACGCTTTTCAAAGAAGATTCATTGCATTTTCTATTTCCTTTCAAATATTTTTTCAGGTTTGTTTAAAATAGATGCTGACCGTTGCTTAACTAAGTCAAAAAATATGAGAAAAGAATTAAAACTGAAGAAAAATAAATATAACAAATAGAAATATATAACTATTTTTACTTTAAGAAAACGACGAAAAACATTTAAAAGAAGCAACAATTTATTTATTTCTTTTTTTGACGGGGTAAAAATAGAGAGAAAAAGATTGATGAAAAAAAAAAATGGCGGACATGATTTTTGATTGATTTGTCACTGCCAACTTTGTTTGCAATGAATGCGCACTAACCTATTTTACAGCGCTTTCTTTTTAGACGTGTGTGTGAACGGGTTTTTATTTATCTGTTTTTTTTTTTAAAGAATATTCTTCTTTTCTATTCAGAATTACATTGAATCCATTTTAGTCTCCAAACATATTTCTAATTCATTCAATCGCTTATTGTCCGGCGTCCATTTCTCTTTAACGTTTATTAAAAAAGCGGAGTGGAGAAGCAAGAAAAAAAATAGCGAAGTAGTAAAAACAAATATATTGGACACATTTAAAAAAAAAACAAAAAAAAAACAAACTTATTTTTGATATAATCCTAAATAAAAATAAAATATTATATTGCATAAGGATTATAATAATTACGATATGTAAAGATAACAGTTTATAAAATTTTACATTAAAAAATGATTATTATTAAAGACAACAAATATTGTGTCCATTAAATTCACGGATCAACTCTTCCAAATTACGAATTGATCCTTCTCAGAAAAGGAGCGAATTCCATCAGTTCATTGAAATGAGCTTCGATCAAAGTTGTGTATGAATATATTTGCCCCCTTCGAGAATATTTCTCCTTAAATAAAATAAAAAAATCGCAAAACGTCTTACGTAGGATATACCACAACCATACTATCAGGAAGATTCACCTACCACCTATCGGAGCAAAGGGCTAATAAATAAAACATTAATAAGAGGTATGAGGATTATAGCAACATTAGACAGTTACTAACCAAAAATACTAGTCAAATCAAATAGCAAAAAATAGACTAATGATAATTAAAACTATAGTCATACATAAAAAGACAATCATCTATAAATAAAAACAATTATAATTTAAGAGCTTGCATCCTTAAAATTCTATAGATAATAATATAATAAAAACAAAAAAAAAAAACACAGACTAAGTCACAACACTGTTTTTCTGCGTGACAACATTTGCTTGGACCATATTTCTTCCTAAATGAACATCAAACATTTTTTGATTGAATTTTCTTCTTGTCTGGGAATGATTATTCATAACTGAGAAAAGTTTATCAGTAAAATCGACACAAAATGTCTGTTGTCTTTAATAATATTTCCCTTAAAGTCGATTTGGTGCCTAAATACACAGAACGTATATATATATATATATATATATATATATATATATATATATATATATATATATATATATATATGTGTGTGTGTGTGTGTGTGTGTAATAAGGAAAAGACAATAGAAAAACTCTGGTTTTAGTCAACGCGTTTCGTCCAATGGGTACTTTTTGGGACAAAAGAAGAAATGAATTTATTGAAACAAAGTATCTATAAACAACAGACAAAATGTCGTTAGCAAGTAGAAGAATTTAGAAACGCTATTGTAGATTTATATGGCCAACTGAAAAATTACGGGAATTGCTTGGTTTGAAGAGAATATTATCACGTGTAGAAATATTGTTTTTGTATTGTTGTTCTGTCGGATGCAACCGTTTTCTTTTGATTTCTTGATATATTTGTTGTGTACGTTGGTTTTGGTGGGTAGTGATTCTGTTAGGAAAGGTGATACTGGGGGAAAAACCCTGGGCGTAGATTAATATTTGGATAATATTCAATTGCGACACTCTCGAGGATTTTCTTTCTGAGTGAATTTTTTCTTTTTTTTTATGAGTGTAGCATTTATATAATCAAAATTGTGGTTGACTTCATTTCTATGTATGATTCGTGCATTTGTTAAATTTTTATTTATGATGTCTCTTTTGCGCTCATAGATGCGATTTTAAAAAAACAATTCTGCATGTTTCTGCAATGTATTGTGAAGAAGTTTTGACAGCTTATTTTATATGTGCCTGCTTCACAAATATTACTGCTATGGGAGTTTGAGGATTTGATTATATCCGTAATGGTTTTAGAATTGCTTGTGATTATTTTAAGATTATTTAGATGGGATAAATTGTTCTGGATAGTGGACGTGACGGTGTTAGTCAGCAGTATTATGTATCTGTTCTCATATAATTTATTATTACGGATGATGTTGTTATTTTTGTTGTTGTTGTATATTTTGTATGCGTTTCTTTTTGCATCGTGGATGAAATGATGTGGGTTTTGTAGGTTTGAAAATGTCCAAATTGGACGAAACGCGTCGGCTAAAACAACAGTTTTTCTATTGTCTTTTTCCATAATACATATTGTCTTTTTTATAGGTTAATTGTATATATATATATATATATATATATATATATATATATATATATATATATATATATATATATATATATACTGTGACGTGCCAAAAGCAGTGTGCAAAGGTAATGGTAGGTATCACCACCGTACATTGCCGTCATGGAATATCTATATCAGTCGGATGCTTACATCTAATGAATCAGTGTGAACACAGATAGAATTTCTAAGACCATAGCAGAGGTATGAAACATTTTCTTTGTGTTTTTGCGGATATTAAATATCCTTCGATATACGGCGTTACGTGTGTATCAGGAACACCTTTATTACATAAGTATTGTAGTACTTATTATTATATAATGATAATAATAAATACAATTACACACACGCACACACACACGTGTGTGTGTGTGTGCGTGCGTGTGAGATAAACATACAGTTTTAAACTATACTATATTTAGGGACGAAAGTGCTCAATAACTGCATATATATATAAGTATACAGTGAGGCCAACACCGGGCCGGCCGAGGGGGTGACAGTCTGTTACATCCTTGAAAGCATTGTTCAGGCCATCTGTTTCGCGTGGTACCTCGACTTCTTACGCATGCTGATATGTGTAGCAAGATCAGATATGCATAGCCTGAAGATTGAGATCAAACGTGAAACAAACTGTCGCCACCAGGATTTGAGCCCACTGTCCACCATTCTCATATATATATATATATATATATATATATATATATATATATATATATATATGTGTGTGTGTGTGTGTGTGTGTGTGTTTGTCTGTATTTGGTTAAAAGTAAAATGAAAGTTCTTTAAGTTCAGTGTTGTCTTTGCTCACATGGAGAAATCATCTTTAATAATTCAAGCATCATAAACATTGGTATCAAAACCACTACATTATAATGCCGATTAAAGTGTCATGCGCCTGATAGTAGTCCAATAAAATCGGATATCATCAACCATCAGAAAAGGAAACATGCTTACAAATCTAGCAAATCCTTACCAATAGCGCAAAACTATAATATCGTATAAACGGAAGTAAACAACGCCAAACACTTGAAGCATGAAAATAAACAATCCGGTACCAATAAGATGTAATTCAAATTTAGGAGTAAACATTCTAAATT